GTGACATATGACAATGACAGGGTATCACTTATCACCATCTCATCCCTGCTTCGCCGAACTAGCTGTCCCATTTCTAGACGGAAGGACAGCTGGGGAGGTGAGTCGATGTTTCGTGTCACTGTTTGCCTTACATCCAAGACCATCTTGCAGCAAACTCCCGCACCCACTCCTACCCCAGACCCTCCTTTCCATAGGAATCCGGTCAGTTGTTAATTGACTGTTCCCTCTTTTGAATTTCTGTTATGTATGTATGTATTAGATGATGTTGGCGTGGACAATATAATTTATGTTTGTAGAGCGCTGAAGAAGGCTACGGCCCGCGAAACGCTCGTCTGAATAAAGCCTGAAAGCAGTTCATTATATGCACCACAAAGAAAACAGCTTCCATACTCTTAACGACTTGAATCCTTTGGGAAGAAATCAAATTATCATTGCTAGAGAAGAAAATTGGGTCCCCACCCTCAGAATACAGATTCAACATCAAAAGAATTCACTAACGCCTACCCTTTTGCATGGCCTATCCTACTATATATAATCCGCTAAGTTTGTCTGTGGTGTGTGTGTGTGTGTGTGTGTGTGTGTGTGTGTGTGTGTGTGTGTGTGTGTGTGTGTGTGTGTGTGTGTGTGTGTGTGTGTGTGTGTGTGTGTGTGTGTGTGTGTGTGTGTGTGTGTGTGTGTGTGTGTGTGTGTGTGTGTGTGTGTGTGTGTGTGTGTGTGTGTGTGTGTGGTGTGGGGGGTGTGGTGTTGTGTGTGTGTGTGTGTGTGTGTGTGTGTGTGTGTGTGTGTGTGTGTGTGTGTGTGTGTGTGTGTGTGTGTGTGTGTGTGTGTGTGTGTGTGTGTGTGTGTGTGTGTGTGTGTGTGTGTGTGGTGTGGGTGTGTGTGTGTGTGTGTTCATAACCTTCTTCAAAATAGCGATAAAGCGCTCAAATTCATAAGTTATGTAGGGGGTCGGGCAGGAACATTAGTGGTGGATGGCAGGAAGTGATAAGAGCTGATAAGATACCATACCGGGGCTTAGAAGGGGAGGGTCACCAACTCTACGCGGGCTCACCGCAGCCATGCGTTGGCTTCAAGAGGTAAGATAGGGTGCAGGATGGGAACATTATTGGTGGGTGACAGGCCATGATAACAGCTGATAAGATACCACAAGGGGCTTAGAAGGGTGGCACTTCCAATTCGTAATCGGCCCGCAGTAACGACCGGGGCTTTATGCCAAGAGAGAGAATAGGTGGGCAGGATGGGACATCATTGGGGTGATAGCATGATAGACATGAATAAGATTACCACAAGGGGCTTAGAACGCAGAGGATTCCAGCTCATAGCGGTGTTCACAGCGGCGGTAGGCAATTGTCAAGAGAGTGATTGTAGGGCAGGATAGGATCATTGTTGATGGGTGGCAGGAAGTGATAACAGCTGATAAGAAAGCATAAGGGGCTTCAGAAAAGGAGGGTCACCAACTTCATTGAGCGGCGGCCCACAGCGGACGGTAGACGTTCCAAGAAGTAGAATATGAGGGCAGGATGGGAACATTACGGTGGGTGGCCGGAAGTCATAACAGCTGATCGGTTGATAAGATACCATAGTTGGAAAGGAAGCCTTAAATATTCATAAAAGGAATGTGGTAACACGGGATCTGCTTCTAGCACGTAACTCGGGAACTGGTTTTACGAGACAAGTTGTGCGAATAGATTTCTATGGCCGACTCAGAATCAATGGGCAAAGCGGTGAGTTACGATGTCTTTATTGTTCAGCGATGTAGTTGGAACGACGCTAAATCCACGATTTCGACAAAAAGTAATAGCTCAAATTGTTTGCCATTGAGGAATTATAAGAGCCAACAACAGACAGATATGTGAAAGCTGCTCAGTGGAAGTATTAAGACGTAATTTCCACTAGGATTTTGATATTGTTACCCATCAAATGCTCTTGCAACCGCTAGGCTGTCCTATTTCCAAACAAATGGTGGGTGTTCTCAGATTTTGATAAGCAGCCGACACTGGCAAATGTTCATTAAAAAAGAGAAATGCAATACAATCGGCCGTATTTCGAAATCTGGGAATTAAGCCAAGTGTTAGTGGGCAACACAGTAATCCTGACAGTGACCAGTACCATGTTAACATGCGCGCATATGGCGACACCAAACTGGTTAATCATAACAGCAGAAACCGAAAACCGATAGAATCCCACACCAATGATCACATTTTTGACAAATAGACCGAAAACAAGAGCGGACCAAGAAGACCAGTTCAGAATGTCTTGCACATAACCCGTCCCTCATCAGGCGTCCCATCCTGCAGAAAAATTCAAAGTGCAACCCACTTACGCCGGCATAACCAGAATCGCTAGCAAACACAGCAGATGCCAAGAACATGCATAGAGTAAGGGCGGAGACCCGAGAAAGTATCCGTCCGAGCGATTGTTGGCATGATGCGAACGCAAAACTCGTCCAGAGCTGTCCCATATCAGCGAAAGCTCGCTCAATACTGTGCAGAACGAAGGCTTTCTAGCATCTCTGACCATTTCGCTTCACGTTTTCATCGTTTTCCCTCTAATAAGCACAGGAACCTCTGCTGACCATTTTGGACCGAATACTAAATATTGTGCCTAGCGCCTCTAAGCGCCACATCGCTCCCAACAAACAGTCCCCCAGATGAAGCGACAATGTGGGCCTTTGCAGAGTAGAAACCCCCACAAAAACAAAATATGATGCGCAGTTCGATCTGGAGGGGGGCAGCTTATGACACTTAGCCCAAACTTATACGGAGCGCCTTGGGAAGACCTGTAAGTTACTGTGACCAAAGTAGGTCATTCACACCATTCCGCAGCTTCACAGGAACTTACAAGCCTCACCGAAGTGCAATCATGTTACTAGCAGAACTAACAAGGTAACTAGCGAAATGTGAAAATGCCCACTGGCGAAGCTGAACACCGTCAAAGCTAGTTTTTACTCCATTTGGTTGTAGCCTTTAACCTACACTTCTTCGGAAATCATTTGACAATTCTTATTCACAGAACAGCGGTATAGAAATGGGAAACGGATTGTGTCTGCTCTTTTTCAAAGTTGAATCTTCCAAGGGGAAAATCTCCGATGATGATTAAAGTGGCAAAAAGAAAAGCAAGTGATATATGTATTGAGGAGCACTATCCCGATAAGAACAAAATCATCATTATAGAGTGGCAGAGCTAAATGTTCACACAAGACCACGGCCGCTACCTATGTTTAGGCCGCCGGCTGTGCACAACCACGTTCCCAACATACTATACTTATATAAAAGGAGCGTGGTGAAATCATCACAGATAAATCGACGAAACATTTCCGTCTCAATAGCAACAAACTGACCACGAGCCCATCATATCTATAATGAACGCATGATTTCCGGATGAAAGGGAGAGATGGAGGGGGCTTGATAGCACGTTACAAGCTTAGGGAAACAGGCGGGGTACAGTACCGCAAACTTCGCGTAAAATTGAGAGCAGCGAGTGCACGTTCTCACTTCCTGGGGCCGTATGGGTCTCAGGATATCTGTCAACCGCGGGACCTTCCTCTTCCTTCCTTTTCCTTCCTCCTTCCTTCCTCCTTGTTTTCCTTCCTCTAAATGCTCGAACAGCAGAGGCGATGAGAAAACACCTCTGAACCCTCACAGCGAGAGAGCATCCGGTTGACAGATGCCTTGTAACCGGCCCGTATGCCCTGTAGGAGAAATATTTTCCAGTGCACCTCCACTCTATGCCGCTATCTCTACTGGTGTCCCTGGTCTCTCTGATTCTCCCCACTCTGCGTCCATACTCTTTCGGCGCACGCTCCGAACGAATATAGTGCGGCGCAGAGCATAATCGATAACTTGGCCTCTCCCCAACGAATGTCGTTTGGGGTGAGATTCCGGGGGAAAGATATGCAGATAGGCAGAAGCATAATACTGGGGACACTGACGGAAATAACAGAGAAGCGGTTACTGAAGGAAATCTACCCTACAGGGGAAGTATAATGCACTGCCCCCGACCTCACCACGTAGCTCCTTCAACCGGCTGCAGTATTCATAATTGTAAGCATCCACGGAGCCGACACATTCAATTTCGCGCGCAATTCTCGGGGTACTGTATAGCTCCTGTTTTCCTGAGCTTATAACCTTGTGGTGAACACGATGCGATATAAAGGAGTGACATACACCAACGATGACGATGAAAGCGCATTTTCTCATCAGCGCCGATAAATGTTGCCAATTCAATACACAGAGATGATACACCTTTGCAATGGGAGGGAGAATAGCACTTTGACTAACGATCGAGTAGCAAAATTTACGTAGAATTTTTTTAACCTCTCGTCTCATAAAAAGGAACGACGAGCGCTATTAGTATCACAAGTACACATGAACTCGGTTAGTTGCAATTGCAGGGATTTGATGATGATAATGAGAAAGATGATAATAAAAGATGATTGAAACACACATCACGATGAGTAGACGACATCCATACATCCATTGGATTCGACCGAAACAGGAAGGAGGGGGGGGGGAAGTACAACGGTGCAATTAATTATCATGAATAAAACAACAAAAAGGAAAACACTGACCTGATCAAACTACATAAGTACAAACAAATTCCAATTAGCAATTCATGGTCTAAACGAGTAGAAGAGTTGGTAGCGCCAGAGGATGAAAATGAAAGTATTTAGCGGCATTTCTGACCGCAATGCAACAAAAAACAAATTGCTCACTAGTTTCTGCATATTTTAAAAGCCAGCTAAACGTCCACAGGAGAATATCGAGCACCGAACTTAAACAAGGAGAACGACGGGATGACAAACAATTCGCATTGACTCTCAATTTCATACAACTATAGGATTTACAGTAATGAAGAAAGTTTTGAAGCGAATTGGTACCGACAGAAACGGTGTACGAAGAAAAGGTGATTTGTAATGATGGAAAACATGATCTAAAAATCATCGAAGAGGACGAGTGCATGGATTCCATCAATGTAGTGCGAAAACCAGCTCTTGTCATCTACAGATTGAGCTCCTGTGCAATTTTGGACGCGATATTTTTGAACCCGATAGAAGTCCCCGAGATTCTTTTGAAACGCACTCCATTTAAGCTAAGGCGTGGAAGCTTGCAAACCTGAAAAATCACCAGTGATCAAAAATAACATTTTTTACACAGAAAATTGCAAAGCCTAATCTAGAGAGTAGTGCAGTAAACAGCTGATCTGAGACACATAGAGAACTACAAACTTACAATCAAGTGATTATTTCAGTACTGTTTCGGCTTGGAGGGGCAGCTAGTTAGATTTCTCTAGTCAAATTAATGAAACCTCTCGTGTGGAACCTGTAAATTCCTGTGAAACTGCGAAATAATGCGAGTGAGTCACTTCGGTTACAGGAATTTGTAGATCTCCACGAAGCGGCCGGCACAAACTTAGGTGGGTACCATTCGATACCCCCACCAAACCGAACTGACTTTTATTTCTGCGCTAGAACACAGTCAAAAGAAAATCACGGGAAAAGAAGGTTACCAAATAATGCAGCATTCTTGTCTACGATGACGCGCGCCGACGCGGTACGTCACCTATCAGTGAAGGGGCACTCCGCTATAGATAGGAACGCAGCCATAGAAGGGTATCGATCGGAGCCGGCCTCTAGTGCTTCGGTAGAATAGATGATAAGAGGGGGGTACTAGTCCGTGTGATTAAGCGACTCCTACTTTACTCCTACTCCTGCTCTCCCAAACGCAAGCGAACGAAGGCCGATCGATACCCCTCTACGCAGCGTGCCGGTCTCTAACACTGGAGTGCTACTGCTAGGCAAGGCGTCATAGCGCGTGGACGCGCGTCACTGCGATGTCTGAAAGCTACTTGAAACGCGGCCTCCATCCCATTAATTAGGTGGGCCGCCCTTGTAACGAAAATTTCAGACCAGCCGTTTCCTTCACAACTTTGGCAGCGTTCAAACCTCGCGATGACCCTTTCGACCATCTGGGACGCCTGTCATCGCGAGGTTTGAACATTGTTTTACGGTCAATGTGCGAGCTTCACTAACCTCCATCTCCCACTGTACCAAAGAATCCGCATTAGGATCACCATGAACGCAAAGAATTAGGTATCGTTCACGTTGCTCATAATCACAGTTGTTGGCATCGAGCACCTTACGAATTTCTCTGAAACATTTTAAGTGGGGTGTGGTTCAGTCAAAAAATACGGTCAAGGAACGACCACGTACCTCATCATTTCGTCAGGTGCCAGGCTGCTGGTTGTCTTCATGCTCCATGTAAACCGCAGACTACGAGGTTTAATTTCGTCCTCTCGCATAGACTGGGGAGTGGTAGTACCAGAAGGAGCAACGGCGTGACCTTCACGTATCTGAGTTAGAGCGCTCGCGATTGGCGCTCCACCGCTTGATCCGACAGTTCCAGCTCGGGAAGGTGGTTGTCCACCGGCTGTTGACGGAATTCCAGCTTCAGGTGGTCCCCTGCGAACGGCGGAATAAGGTGGTGGCAGGCCAGCTCCACTATCGTAGTGATGTCCTCCAGCGACCACTGACGGGCTGTAATCCGATGAACGATGGCGGTGAGCAGATGAGTCTGGTGACGCCCCCGTCATCGAGATAGAATGATGCAATGGACGACGGGGAGTCGCTGAAGCGACACTAGGCGCCATAACAGTAACGCCTGCCGGCGATGCCGTGCTGCTACTGCAACGAGGGTACATGCGGGAATTGGAAAAAAGACGGTAATAGGTTTAGGGATTAAACGCTATGGAAGCATGTCAGCAAAATAAACATGTGTGAAAAGGCGCAGTTCATTTGGGAATCGATTAAAATAGGCGTAAAGCAAAAAGGTCTTCTAAGACAAAACATCACTCTTTCTACACACAAAAGGTGCGCCAAAAGGTCTCACAGAAAGCAGAAAATAATTGATTGAACCCAGCCCAGAGAAAAATGACAAACAACCCAGAGAAAAGTGACTCGGAGAGCATCGTCTAAGTCTAAGGGACAAAAACATTCGACGTGCTAGCAAAGGAATGGTTTCGAGTTCTCATGGAATTTTAAATGGAGGCCTAGGTAAATCGATAGTCTTGAACGCTGATTACGAAGATGCATTAAAAGTGCTACGGGATCTCTCGAACGAGTTCTGGGTGATAAAAGTTTGTATAAATGCTATGATGGCATGTGAGCAATACTGAGCGAGCGAATGCCGTGACAACCCTGCTTAGTCAACCCTCGCTTCATAGCCAAAACGTAGCGGGTTTGAATCTGTTGGTGCGGGAATTTTTGCTGTGTCTCCGATGAGAGCTTCTACTCCAATTTTCGAAACTCCTATGACTTCACAGAGCAGCTGAGCAATGTACGTCAACGAGAAATTTCGAAAATTGAAGTAAAACTTCTTATCGAAGACAAGCAGAAATTTTTGCACTAGCGTAATGCAAAAACCAGCAAGAGTTCTTGGTATTGAAGCGAGACCATTATAACAAGGCCGCGCTGCCACGGCATCCAGGCGTTCTGCGGTACTCATATGCCAACACTACATTTACAGCAAACTTTGACCACCCAGAGGTTGTATGAGAGATCCCCGTAGCACTTTTAATCTGCATATTCGTAATCAGCATTCGAGACTATAGATGTACCTAGGTACCATTCAAAGTTCCATGGGAATTTGCGACCATTCCCTTGTTAGTACCTCTACGGACATCAACATATAGCTTGAGAATTAGAGGTGCTATTCTTAGGTGTGACGAGAGGCTGTAGGATTGAAGTATGTGTGTGGTATTAAGCAAGATCAGAATTGGATAATATGATTATTTCACCGCCACCATCGTTATTTTCCCGTCAGTGATAACCTGGAGCCAAAATAGACATAATATGTACTGACAGAGTAGCATCACAAAAACACTACACTTTAAAGCCCGTGAGTAGTAAAGAGCTCTAGCAATCACCTCATGCAATGAAAGCACGAACTCAACCACGCATCTTTGTCTTGATTACTGAGAGCGCGTTCATACTTCGCGATCCGATCGCCTGGATCGCGCGACCACGACTGGGTTGCTCCACCACCACAATCGGTGGACTGCTGCAACGGCGAAATTCAATCGGGCCGCGTTCGTATGAGGCAAGAGAACCGTAATTCGCCGCGCCAGTGGGCGTCGCGTGCGACGTCGCGCCCGCTAATGACGACGATTTTAGGTGGTATTGGTCGAGAATAGACAATGTATGACCAAAAATAGACATAAGTGTCTACCATGTTCTTGTCTACATGAAATTCGATGCTCCAATCGAAAGGGTAGTGGAACTTAAGAGAACTTCGCTCCCATTAGAAGCGGCAGTTTACGATTCTCTTCCGCGTCTCCCCGGTCATGCACTATGTAAACGCAGCCCGATTTGAATTCTGTCGCTGCGGCGGTACACCGATTGGCGATGGAGCGCATCGGGTCTTGATCGCGCCCTCCATGCGCTTGAGCGATCCAGGCGATCGGGTCGCGTAGTATGAACGCGCTCCAACACTGCACTATTGATGACAGCCCTATTTTTTCAAAAAGGAAAACAAAACTTTAGGAAACATATTTCTGAAGTTGTTTCAATATGTTAACTACTGTTTACCGCCGTAGTTCGCGTTTCGGAAGTTATCACAAGATAGCTGAATTTCTGGCAGAATTCTTGACCCCAGGAGACTTGAACTCGCACCTCACCTTTCCGAGCTATCCTTTATGTCAGTATCGTTCAATATCTTCAATGAACCACTAGGTCAAAGACTGAGAGGATGAGAGCGCCCCAGCAGGCGTAAAGGATAGCGCACTTGCCCGGAAAGCGTGAGGTGCGGGTTTGAGTCCCGCCGGGGCAAACCTTTTGCCCATAACTCCAGCATTCTTGTGATAACTTTCGGAGCGCGAACTGCGACGTTAACACGTTCGCAGCGGCGCCGTTTCGCCAAAAACTTCCGTTTGTCGAGCGGCGCGTTCGCGGCGGGCGACACTCAGGCAATCGTCCCGTTTATGGTTAAGCGCACTCGCAACGAATACAACTTCGCCAAAAACCACGTGATTCGTTTTTTTTTGTCCATTCTTTTTACACTTTTTTCCCTCTGCAAGGTTATCTCATTTCTGGTGAAAGAACCAGGTATCTTACACTTTTTGCAGCTGAATAAACAGAAGTAAACACGATCTGTCCCCCTTCTAAAAACCACTACTGCCTCCCCTGCTTCCAGAAATGCACAAGAAATGTTTTCAGTAATACTTCTATATTATTTATTTTATTATTTGTATATAATTGTCAGTGAAATGAAGAAAAAAATCAAAAAAAAACAAGAGAAGAGGCGCGTGTACTTCTGGGAGTACACGATTGGTCTAAAAAAAGTTCTTCGCGTGTTTTTTTCGGCAGCACACGCCTATTCTATGTATGGATAACATTTCTCCACTGTATATTTCAGTATATGCATGCAGTTACTAGTCAAAAAAAGCGGAAACGAGCAAAGAGGCGCGTGTGCTCTCGGAAAAGCCCCATTCTCCTTGAGAGAAAAGTTTTTGAATGTCTTTTCGGATGTACACGCCTCTTTTAATGTGTCTATATTAATTCTCTATTGTTTGATTAATTGTTTATATCCGATTCTAGCTGAAAAATGAAAAAAAAATCAAAAAACGAGCGAATAGGCGCGTGTACTCCCGGGAGTACACGATTCGCCGAAAGCGGAGTTTTTTCGTGTACTCCCGGGAGTACACGCCGCCGCGAACGTGCTAAGCAGCTTTTCATTTTGAAACAGCTTCGAAATGAATATGTTAGAACTTGCAAAGGAGAATTTTTTAAGGATTTATTCTACATTTTCTATTTCTTTTAAATCAAAAGAAACCAAGCAAAGTGGAGAGATTCCGTTCTCAACGATCCAAAGAATTCCGCAATCTCACACGGGGTTTACACGGAAACAAACTATCGAAAAATTTATGGAGCATGAAACAAACTTCGCAACATTGCCAAAAACAAGCTTAAGCACTGGTTTTATTTCCCACAATAAGATAGTTTAAGATAGTTTTGTTTCAAGAAATGAGAAAATCACCTATTGGCGCACAGACGTCTAATCATTGAGGTTAATGAAACTCAAAAATTTCATTATGACCTTAAGCACGACGGCATTTTTAGCAATAAAGTGTTATCTGCAGTTAGTAAGAAAACATGTTAGTGAAAATATTAGTACTTATGAAACCAAGTTAAAATTTCAACTGAAGCTTAGCGAAATCTTGGCCAAAAAGTTAGATATACCTCGTATTTAAGTTGAGTTCATACTCTGCAACAGCGTTTTGAGCGAACATCATCTTTTTTAGCGACTGCCCACGCAATGTTCGAAACCACCCGCGAAACGCTCAAATTGGCTAATGCTCAAGACGCTAGATCGATACCTATACATTCGCGGTCGCTCCAAAAGAGCAAGCACGCTCGCAAAGCCCAAAACGCTGACGCGTAGTATGAACGACTGGAGTTCCGTGAAAAAAGTGCACAACCTCACGAAACAGAAAATAAACAACACTCTCGAACACTTTGCTGCAACTTCTAAGTACTTTCAAACGTACCGTCGTGTGAGTTTCGTGAGCTTCGAGAGAAAGAATCCTCCCTTTTGACCATTACCTATGGACTGACCAGCGGGAGCTTGTTCACCCTCGGACTCTTCATCTTCACCGTTCACCTACACAAACAATTTCAGGAGAAAAGAAGAGCACAACAAACAACGCAAATAAAAAAGTGAAACCAACAAAATAAAACACTGACTGTTCAAAACATGCAATGAATCTGAGATTCTAACCCTAAAGACAAACTATACGCTCACCTCGTTGGATCCTGGTCCATCTACGCGCCTGGTGAAGATCCCCACAGCTGCTGTAGCGTGTCATTTATTCCGGTCAAAAGGGCACTGAAAAGGTCTGGAGAGGAACGGTTCCCGAGCGTCGTTCCCATACTCCGCCCGCGTTGTCGCACGGTCAGCCGCACGCCTGACCATATGCAACATGCTACTTGTCTGCGCTTTCACAGTTCTGGTTGTTCTCTACAGCTCAGCGCATGTTTCGCTGCAAGGCCTTGACATCGACGTGAGGGCTGCACATAAAGGATAGCGTGGCGTTATAATGCTGGCTAATGTTGCAGGCGGGTATGTGACAAGAGAATCGTAATTCTTCGCGCAGATGAGCGTCGCGTGCGACGTCGCGCCCGCAAATGACGATGGTTCCAGGTAGTAGATGGCGACAACAGGCAATTCAGAACCGAAAATAGTCATGAATGTCTACGATGACGGGGTCTACATGAAGTCCGGTGCTCCCGGCAGAGTTAAGAAAACGCCGCGCCCATCGCAGCGGCAAATTACGTTCTCTAGCCCATCTTCCGTTGCAGACTAATGACCAGGCAGGCAGAACGTATTGATTGAAGGCCATCGACGTGTTCGGGGGGGAGGGGGGGGGGGTTGACGTGTATCCACGTGGCACAATATCGACATATTTGACCAGGATACTGGGGATTTGTTGGGACACTTAATTCTCTGGTCTGCCGCTTTAGAGGCCAGCCGCCTTCAGAAAGTCTCGTCTATGCCACACAGATCATTGCATGTTCCTGCTTGACCACTCGTCTTCTACATCTCCCACAGCCTCCACCTCGATCTGAGACTATATCACATATACCTTGTTTTGTATGAACACTAGTCAGTCAAGTCGAGTCACTGAGATTTTTTTCAAAAGTGTGGTCCTTCACACTCACCACCACTGTCGACTACGGGAGACGAGAGTACCGAGACGATACCCGAGTATCACCACACATGGAAAGGACTGTCTTTGGAAGTGATTGTACAGTTTGTCTTTAAAAGTAATTTTCAATTTGGATCGGTTGCGTAGCACTACCTAGTCAGTTTGGAAATACAAGGTTTTGTTAGCCATCCGCAAACACTTTCCCGCAAATTGTAGTTTGCCGAAAAGGCCACGTTGGTCCCATAGTGACCTCAAACGGCTGTCTGAGTGCAGCACCATTCCCTGCTTGGAACGAGGGGAAGGGCGACAATTCGAAAGAGCGAAAACACGACGGATTGCAACATTAAGCGAAAGAAAGTAGCTACACAGAAGCAATAAATTACCTCCTGTTGGACTGGAAACGAGATCAATATCCTCCCCAATCGACCCACATTTATATAGTGCAAAAGAAAGTGTTTGTGTGATTGGCAGCCGTCGCATGCAGGTTACGCTGCTGCAGTTTACCTTGTTGTAGTCGGTCTTGCCATGAAACGTCTGCCGATTTCGAGTGTTGCGTGGGAATGCGGTAGCGCTGGCACCAGCGACGGCTGCAGTAGTGGTAGTAGTGGTAGATGTTGTAGATGCAGTGCTACCACGTTGTTCAGACGGAGTCACCGATGATTGCAGGGCTGAGGAGGGCGCATACGTCTAAATACGACACCAATACGCCAAGGAAAGGTGAACAACAATACAGAATCACAATATTCAATGCGACATTATCACTCGCTTTGCACTGTTCAGCGCAAAGCGAACGTCGAACAATAGGAAAAGCAGAAAAAAAAACATTAATATTCCGTGATGAAAAATGCGAATATGCCCCAGTGGATGCTTTTTCTTATAAAGATCACGATAGCACTGAACACGAGCCTACAAACATGACATGGCTGCATGCTCACCACGAATTCGAAAACAAGCTTGCATTATAAACATATTATTTCACTTTGCTTTTATCCAGATTCGTTCTAGCAATACTTTATGAAAAAAAGCGAGACCAGGAGAATATTCCATAGCAGTTGTATGGCTACAGAACAGAAAGTTAAGCCAAGTGTTCGAAAATTTCTCTATCAGTCTCTCGAAGTTCTGTGGACAGGACACGTCGTATACTGAGGAAGGGCTGGTCTTTGGAGAGACGGAGCTGCCGTATTCGCCCCACGATTTTTCTTGTAGGTAGTGGATTTTTTTCTACATGGGGAAGCTTCCATTAGACTATGGACGGATTTGCACATCGCACTGATAGGAGGATCGCATCTGCTTTGCCCCTGGTCGGCACCACCGCCAAACCACCCGCTATGCAACAAACGACTACATGTTTAGGAAAACGGCCAATATAGAGTCCCTACTAAAAATTGTGCGTGAGAAGTAACGGCTCAGTAAATGCACACAATTGCGCATACCGTAGGCCCGTTTAGCTACCCATGTTCACTAGTCTGTGTGGTACGGGATTACGCCACGAAGCGGGAGGGCCCACACCGCTTTCCCCTGACCAGGGGCTGAGCAGGCGAAAACTGAGTGATGCTACTATGCACTCAGCTTTATGCGCAGTTTGGGTAATATAGAAAATTATGGACCACTCAATTACAATTTCTGGCGGTTGTTCGGTGACGCTCTCTCTAACCACTCCGCTTGGCGGCAGTTTTCTGGGAGAAGATTAGAAGCTTCCTGGGGAAAGTGGAGAAAGCTATAGGAAAATGGAAAAATCAGCAAGGTGGTAGATAAGAGGAGAAGGTGGGGATCGCATTGTGCTAAAATTTTTCCCAGCGATAGGACGTGCCCTGACTACGGATTGTGCCGCCAAAGATAAAAGTGAAAGCGAAAAATCATAAAGCATAACCGCATGCTTCTAAAGGGACTAGCGAAATGCGAAACTTACAAGGCTCATGAAGGTTTTGCCTCGAAATCCAGCCCTTTTCACATACTAGAATATCACTCTCAGAAACAAAAGAACAAAAACGATGCAAAACGAACAAAGTTCTGCAGTATGCAGTGCAATGCTCTAGGCGATCCCTTTTGACACTCAGGCCCCGCAACCAAAAGTTCAGCCAAATGTACAAACAGCCCGCCACACGCAATTGTCTTTATTCAAACGCTAACTCACTTGAGATGGAGCTGATACAGGAGGAAGACCAGCAGAAGGCGGTGGAGTAGCAATCAGAGTGTTACCAGTAGCCGATTTGGTCATTTTCGGAGAGTCCCGTTCTCCTGTTGAGGAAGCTGAGCCACGAACTGTCAGCTCTCCCATTGCCTTCAACATCGTTGGCGGCATCGATGGACTTTGATGGATCAGCGACGGCCTGAAACAGGAAAATAGGCTTATACCTCTGTCACAACTTCTTATCACAATGTATTTCACTATTCTTATAACGATGTTCAAAGCCCCACTGCAGGAAACCTACGCAAGGGCTGTTGAATGCACTCAGTTAATTTGCACAACAAATACAGAGCACCATAAAAGGGGAAAAAACACCAAAATATTAGAAGCATAAGCACCATTCGAAATGAGGTTGTCCGCTTGAAATATGGCGACGTGTTAGTTGAAGGCGCTACATCTGTGGCAGCTCGTTGACGACTCTGCTGCGATACATCTGTGGCGGCCACAACCGGTGAAGCATTGTCGCACGGCATCATTCTCGTGAATGACGGCTGCTTCGCCTCAGAGATGCGAAGGTTAGTAAGTAATTCGGCCCAAAAGTCATGGCTGGACGGTTCCACATCAGAGCTCGTGACATGGCGACGGCACAGGTGCATGCTGTTAACAAAGTGAACTCAAGATGTGAGGTGATGATTGGTAGAAAGGAAACAACAGTAGAGGAAAGCACCCTAGTTTCTCGGGTAAAAAGTTCATTTATTCGCAATATCGTAGAGACGCACGCGAAAACGCTCGCGGCCTTTTTTTTTCGACGCAGCAGCAGGGACGTGTCATTTTGTACATCGAATGTACTGGTTGGTTTCCAACTCTTTTTCTCCAATATGATCACTCGAACATTCCACCAAAAACGATTAACGACGTGAGACGTCCTCGAATACCCTGAAGCATGCGCGGAATTCAAGTGGAAATGCGTTCTAGTCGCCCGGAAAAGTGTCATTTATGATTACGGCAAGTGTTCGAACGACCGCATCGAGACTGAACCCCAAAAATCCCCTTTCTGAAATTTTTCAACCACCTCAAAAATTCCAGAAATCTAATTTAGGACACCACCGCCCACTTGAACCATTACACATGACGCAGGGCGCTCGATTGTTGCTTGGTAGAGCGGTGGGCAAAAATCCGGACTGCGTGCCCGTTTTTGCAGCTAGCACTCGTGCTCATAGGGAAGTCTGCTCCGCTTCATGACTTTTTTTCCCAAGGAACACATACAGTCAAAAACCATCACGCGCAGGTAAGACGCCCTCAATTCACCAGTGATGTAACCATTGGTGTAACAGTTCATCGTATGGCGTATTCAAAAATTCCCAGTTTTGCACAAAACGCAATCGGATACTATTTTCTGTCACGAGTTTCGCTTTTACATCATGGTTTTCGCTTTTTTGCCTTTGTTAGCTGGGATTTGGCACTGAACGACGCGTAGGAACGATTAACGAAAGAGGCTGCAAAACATAGCTTTGTTGGCACAGAAAGAGCAAGTCTGCAGAACTCCGGAAGGTCTTTAGGATGCTCTTCATTAATTTTTTTTGCTGTTTTCTTCTCTACAGAATTACCAAGCGACTGCAAGGCTAACTGAATGACCTATCCACAATATGCAAGCCCGAGGTTTTTCGAATGTACAAAATATTGCAAGCTTGCCACGAAAATGGAATATTTTTCAACAGCTAGAGCCATGTTTTCTGCCCTGAACCTATATTCAATAGCCGCGCATTGGACGCACAAAAACCGCTACGTCCCAGCATTTTAAGAGATAAAAATGTGGCCACACACATAGTAATGGGAAGCAACCGAGGTTACCGCCACAAACACAATCACAGAGCAGGTACTGCACTTTTGAAAACCCGAGCCACTTTCAGAGAAGTATTTTGAATGCGTAAAAAAGTAACCAGGGCATGTTGAACGCTGGGAGATCCCAGTGAGCATCTTATTCGGACCTGGAGGAAGGGAGGAGGTCGTAAATGGCCTGATTGTGATAAAATTTTTTGATAGCTAGATCTTTTTGATTTTAGATTCACGCGCGTCGCCGTCTCCTCTCCCGCCAAAATTTGAGGAATAACTGGAAGATTGCTGGAAGAGAAAATTCCGGGAAAAGTAGTAGGAAGTAAGGGAAACTGGTAGGTAGCATAGGGAAGGGGTCGTACCAAAGGAGGATCGTACCAAGATCGTAATTTGCAAAAATTTCTCCCAGCGAACGAACTGCCCTGAACGTAACACAACAGAAAAAAGCTTACTTGTGCTCTCTTTCGGGCGTCACAGAAACAGAAGGTTTTGTTTCAGTAGGTCCTTCTTCAACCGATGGGAGAGGACTCTGTAATCACTTGATGCTGTTCTCTGAGCGATTCTCGTGACAATGAAAAACCAACCTGAGCCAAAGGTGCGCCACCAATGATGGGTAGATGGGTTATTGTAGCTACCCCATTGGGTCCACCAGCTGATGACTCACTGCTTTCATCTTCATCCTCCTTTATGACCGGTTCAGTAGGCGTATGCGAAATCTGTGAACCGGATTTCTGGAACATAAGAACATTTTCGTGGTATTGGCCTGCACCACCAAACAATAACTCACTTGTAAAGGCAAAGGAATCTGAGCGATCGCAGCAGGAGTCTTTAACGATGGAACACCCGAATTTGGTCCAGAACCGTTTCCTGTCGTGTATAATTTGCCTACCAAAGAAGCAGACGCAGGCACTTGATATGTCGTGGAAATGCCAGAAGTGGTATGTGGTGTTCGGGCTGATGAAGATCCACTGGAAACTGTCCTTTTATTAATCTTCAAAATGATTTCAATCACTCAAAACACTTACTCTGCCCGTTGTCCAGCTGCTCGAACCCCTAAATTAATCGGGACACGCCCTTTCGGATCACTTGATTTCCGTGATCCCGACGTCACAGTGGATGACGTTCCACCCCGAGTAAACGAAGCCAAGTAGTCCCTATGGCCTTCATTGGTACCTGAACGAAAATTGTCTTCACTACCCACTTTTCGTTTTTTACGCAATATTTACCCTCTACTGCACAGTTTTCGAACTTCGGGTCAGAAAGTCGGAGTTTAACAGCTCGTCCTCACTCACTCAGAAGCACCAGATAAATCATTCATTTCTGCATTCCGTCATCCACGGTAGTCTCGCCCTAGCACATCGCTTGTCACGGAACCACCTTGGGCCCGCCGCGCCAGTCGTCGGGGTCAATACTCAGAATCAGAATCCGTCGCCAGTAACGCGACCGCAGGCATTTTTGGGATGAGCGAATGGGGTTTGGTAATTGTATTGAGTGGGTAAAGCTTTCTTTAGAGAGAAACTTTCACTGGATTCGGTGGTTTAGAGTATTGCGAGCACCAGGCGATTAAAGGCCAAGGGGATGTAATGTTCGTGTTCAGGAGGTCAAACTATCCTTTGGGGCACAATACCACTAAAACCTGTCTTCAAAGAAGAAAAAGCTGGCCTGATTCTGGGAGACTGGGACAGTGAAGAGCAGATAGGGCCTGTTTGACATTTCAATTGTACAAAAACGAACTACTCTGATATGAAGCTGGCACCATGCTCATGGTAGTGTGTCGTGATGTCGGTTGCTGACGCATTTGTACCTGGAACAGTGCAGACAATAAATATCAAGCCAAAGTGGCACCTACGCCAGCCTGACTGGTACTTACCTGCGCACGAGCAGACGATGATGATGGAGCCTGTGTAGGCGGCTGTTGGCCACTCATTCCAGCAGCATCATTTTGGCTGCTACGCCGTGACGACTGCTTCGGCAAAGGGGTTGTATTGACAGAGGTGCCTGCCGTCGGGGTCGTTTGAGCTGACGACGTCCTCGCGTATTTTGACGGCTGCAAAAGAGGTTTAATACTTTGTGAATTCTCGTTTTTTTCAAGACAATTTGGAGAAGTTCTGGAGTTCACAACCAGGCCGCTAAACAACAAAACTGGAACAGAAGTTTCGTAAACAATAAGTTTTGCATGTAATAGTGACTGAAATCTGGTGGGAGAGAACACAATGATTCCACAACCACCTCACACAAGGCAAAGAATGTGATCCATAGAGGTGAGGTCCCCAGATGAACGACCGCGTCCAGACTTGGCGAGCGGCTCGCTCGAGCAAATGAGACCATGACCACAAGTGCTCCACCGCCAAACGGTGCACTGGCGCAACGGAAAAATTCAAATTGGCATGTGTGAACGCGGCCCAATTTGAATTTTGCCGTTGCGGCGGTACACCGCTTAGCGGTGGAGCGACTCCGCTCGAGGTCGCGCGATCCAGTCTCTCGAGCGATCCGATTACGAAGCCTGAACGCGATTTGCAGTTTGTCTTCACGATTCAACCGGTAACTCTTGAAGTAGGCATGCTTCAAAAGACAGTTTTTTGTGTAAAATTCTTTTTCCTTGGGTAAGAGATTGATCAAGTCGAGCAGGCACTCGAATCGAAAGTTTGGAATGTTTGGGATAAGGACTGCAACACCATGCATTACTGGTATGAAAACACAGACTTGGTAGAATTACATGCAAAACATGTGACGAATTCATGCACCTCACACATTACACACGAACCACACCACACTTGTTGGACAGAATGTCAATCCCTCACCGATTGCGTGGAAGTGGCAGCTGCAGCGGCGGCGGTGTTGGTGCCAACACCATGAGAGCCAATACCTGACGAGACGTTGTGCGTCGAATGTGTGACGGCCTGTTGAGCCAGAGCCAAGTCACCAGCGTCCATCTGTAGGCTCTCACATTCAAAACACCGAGTAAACACATACATGAGGTGTGATAACTAGTGGACGCGTATCAAATCGTTTTCAAGCTCTACCTTACTGCGTGCACCTTAAATGGTAATGAGCAAGCTTTACAAAAAAAAATCGCAAGATATTTGAGATTAATACATAGTAGTGTCTCCGAAAAACCATTAGGCTGCGTTCATACTATGCGTCAGCGTTTTGAGCGTACGGCAGCATTTTGACAGACCAGGGAAGTTTAGATATCGATTTAGCGTCTCGAAGACACAACTTACGCTCGGCTACGAGGTGCATCCTTGACATGTCTATGACTAACGGGGCACAGCTTTCGAAGCGTAGCGGTTCCCCCATCCGAACCTGCGCGCGGATGGGGATGCAAGAGCGTGGGATAGGCCAGTTCCCCCACACTCCACCCAAAATGTAACTTGCGGCACTCGTCATCATCTGATTCGGGCATTGCAGCATGAACAACGACTCAGTTGTCATCCGCTCAAGGAGTTTGCGTTTTAATCTATTCGAAAGCGCAAATTACAACGACTTGGCAAAGACCAAGGAGCGCCGCGCGCAACATGCGCTGCGCAGGCAAAATGGGATCGGGATATGCCAGTGGTGACGACAACTGAATCGTTGTTCATACTGCAAAGTCTGAATCAAATGATGACGAGTGCCGCAAGTTGCATTTTAGGCGGAGTATAGAGGAATAAGCCTATCCCGCAGTCCTGGATCCCCATCCCAGCGCAAGTTCGGGGAAACAGCTCTGCTGCAACAAGCTGGGGGCCTGTTAGCCCCATACATGCCAAGAAAGCACCTCGCAACTGAGACTTTGTGTCATTAAGCGTCTCGCGGGTAGTTTAGAACTTCCCGCAGGCAGTGGCTGAAAACAAAGGCAGACGCTCTAAACGCTAGATCGATATTCATACTTTCCTAGTCGCTAAAGAGTTTACACTACCGTACGCTGGCGTATGCGAAACGCGGACGCAACGTATGAAGCAGCCTTACTAAAAATCTTGCCGCGTTCAGTAGGCTGCGTAAATGCAAAGCGAATGTATTTGACTACAGAAATACAACATTGCCCAACTTTGTTAGTAACAATGGTCAGACTGTGAATGCAAGTTACAGCAAAACGCACGCGGTTAGCAGAACCTGAATGCATAGAAACTCTATAATGATGACAAACGATCTTACCTCACACTTTCGTTCACCCAACAAGAGGTACGTTGCATGGATATCCTCAAATTTCTCTTTTTCTAACGCATCCAAAATGCTGCCTTTGTTGAATCCGAGCTGAATAATCCAATTTAACGTCAGTTTACCCTCTGTAGAATCCTAAGCACCTTCACCTGAATGAGCTTCTCTATTCTGGCCTCATCAATTTGATCTTTTGGAGGTTCCACGTAGGGCTTCAATTCACCTTCCTCTTCGTAACCGATATTCATCCATCTGAAATCAACTATTTGCTCAGTTTTCTATCCATTCAATACACGAACAAAAAAGCCGGCTCAAGGGGTGGGGAAGAGGCATTCTGCACTTCCGCTACTTCATATCAACTTACAGGTCTTAAACCCTTGTGAAGATGAGAAGTGGTGTGTAGTAAAAAACTTCGATCCCGGAAGTTAACAGGTCTTTAAAAAATGACCAGCGCTGAGCATCATTTGATGCCCCCTCAAATCAAAACTGCTCCGAAAATTCCTTATGAACTAGATTACTCGTTCATTCTGGAAAACAAAGAGCACAAAAAGACAGCTTGAAACATGTCGGGATACCGCTTTTCATAAGATTTACCGAGATTCACCCATTTCCGAACACCGTTCACAAAAAATGCCAGCCAAATTAGACACAAATCACCAAGGAGACAATCCTTATTAGGCTTCAAAGTTCTCCCGTAGTTATCAGTTTCCACATTCTAGGATTCTATGAATTGATGCCGGCGGAAAGAAAATTTTTGACCGCTCTGACAAAACGTCAGCGAATCCAGCACAAAGGCGAAACATTACGTTTCAGTTTTGCTGGCTTCGCCTAAGTGCAGAAAAGGAAGACGGTGAAAGCGCCAACCTCTCCCACATGCTATGTTGGTTCTCCCGATCGACTCGTATTTCTTTTCTCGTCCTCTGAGTTCCCCCCCCCTCCGTTCCCCCAAGTTAAAATTAAAGTCTTCGCTAGTCAACCGCTTTTTGGGATGCGGCACACACTCTACTTCCACTCAGAATAGCAGTGGCTTATTAAAAGCTATGAGCCTTATACAATGACTTTCAGAGTCACTCGATGTATAAATCAGTAAATTAATTTTTTACCAAACAGGTCTGGTACCAATTTGCCGTCCCAGGAAGGTAGAAAGGTTGATGGGCTGGACGGGAGCCGACACCGTACTTGATCCCGTGCGCGTGTAGTGATAAGTGTGTCACTTACAACTATACCACATCCGCCTTACCACAAGTTAGCATGCAATAACTGAGATCACCTCACCTGTCCTTCATGATAGTTTCTAAAGTCCCTCGTCGAGCTGGGTTCAGGACAAGGAACTTCTTGAGCAGATTTTCGCAATCCGTGGACATATAGAAAGGAATACGGTATTTCCCTCGCAGTACACGTTCCCGAAGTTCCTGAAACACCGAAATCTTACATCCTAGCACAATAGCACTTATCAAATTTTAGATGTTTTGCCGTTCAAGGTTTTCTGGTAGAGCAGTCCCCTAAACACTTTTACCCCAACAGTTCGACGTGATCCTCTTCTTCAAGTGCCAAGATTCCGCCCTGACATTGTTCGCTCCGAAAGTTTGCGCCAGAAGAATTAAAAACTACTCCACCTAAAAACCTTGAACGGTAGTTTATACCTATGAGAAAGGCGAGAATGCCGAGGTTACAACGAGAGAGAGGCTGGAGAATTTATCAAAATGTTCAGCTGTGAACATGTTCTAATCCCGAAATGCAGCGCTTACTTTCAAGTTTTGTCCGTCGAAAGGCAAGCTGCCTGACACCAATGTGTATAAAATGACTCCAAGACTCCATACATCAACCTCAGGACCATCGTATTTCTTCCCTTGGAAGAGCTCAGGAGCAGCGTAGGGTGGGGATCCACAGAAGGTGTCTAGTTTATTACCTAAACGCCACGAATTTTGCGAAATTGAGGAAAACAAGAAATGATCGAAAAAAAACTGTTCATACCTAGAGTAAACTGATTGCTGAAACCAAAATCTGCAATTTTGATATTCATATCGGCATCTAATAACAAGTTCTCCGCTTTCAAGTCTCTGTAAGGGAAATATTTTTTTCTCCCAATGGCTAGGATTTCTCCCAATATAAAAGAAGCGAAAATCATGAAAAAGATCGATAATTCTGAAAAAGCGTAGGTACCGGTGAATAATATTCTTCGAATGCAAATATTGTACAGCAGAGACTATCTGTCGGAACTTTACTCGCGCTTCCTTCTCTTTCATTCTACCATGTGCGACCAAATAGTCAAAAACCTGAAATCAAAGTTACGCATATTGGTCTCTAGCGTTCAGACTTCGCGATGACGCGCGTCAACCGTTACAATTATAACGCGGCCCAACGCATTCGATGACAAGTAGCCGCAGATGGGAACTGATCGGCGCAGGTCGCTTGTGAATTGAGAGTATGGGGTACAGAGTAGAGTACATTGCCACGTACTCTGGTATCGATTAGTGGCCGCCATGGTTCTGGGAAATACAGGAGAATGGGAGGGTAAGAGGGTAACAGGAAGGCAGCGCCTGCCCTCGTGTTATCCTACTGCTCTTTCAAAAACACAAGCGGCCGGCATCGATCAACTACCTGTTTGCAGCAACATTCGGGTCTATAAAATGGGAACGCTGTTAAAACTGCAGCGCGTAGACGCGACGCGCGTTATCGCGAAGTGTAAACGCTGTCCAAAGTTCTTAAGGATTCACAGGCTGAATCATCATTGAA